GACATGATTAATCATTCCCATAAGAGAAGACATTTTCTTGGAATGGAATTTATTCATACATTCATTACGAGTAGGTGATTAATTGGTTAGGCAATTGTTCTTAATGTTGAATAATTTGCATTGAATTTCAGTGCCACTTTAATTTTGATGAATCTGAAGTTCAGTTTGAAAGATGTGAATATTCATAGTTCATCAAGTAAATAAGTCTTTGTGAAATCTTATGAGTATACACATGATCCTAGACAAGTGCATTTTAAATACTGGGTGAGATGGCATAGAACTAAGTTGGTAGTTTACTGAATTCATAGCCCATCTTCTATCCCACTTCCTTGAGAGCATCACTCTGTGTCTACTACTTTATCAGGAGTCTCACACTAAAGCTTTTATCATGCTGTTCCTCTAACTGTCCAAAATACCCAGGGTTCTGTGTCCATGACTCTAGATAGTTATTTTTTAATTTTTGATATATAAAATAAAAGATTTACTGTCTATTCTTTATGAAACTTTATGAAACATGTTGCATTGTACTTATTTATAGTGTTTTGAAGCTGGCCATGTGGAACATGACATTACTGCATCATGTGCTGCAGCTCGCTCTAAGGAGTTTGGTGAAGGTGAGTACTTTTGAGAGTTGAAAAATAGATATAATGTGAAACTCCTTGTCAACTAGGAAAGTTTTTGTTCAGTATAAAAACCAAGAAGAGTAAAGTTACAAGTTCTAAAGTTTTCTTTGCCTAAAATAATTGGTCAATATACTGAAAATTATATGACAATTTTACACTTTACCCTGACATCAGGTGACTATAATTTGAGTTATATGTGAATAAAGAAATGTGTGGAACATATCTGGAAGTATATGTTCCCTAATTCTTGTGTTACTACAACTCTAGAATACATCATTTTGGGTCTTGATTACTGTTGTTGCTGTTGTTTTTTCTACTGTAGAACAACAACAAGAAAACAACTCTAAGATAGAAGAGAAATTATAACTCATGAGATACCCTTTCAGAAAGCCTTAGAATCTTCTATCATCTTTGATATATGAGCATTTGTTGAAAAAGAGATTACACTCAATGACTCTTACATTGTCGTGCCAATTTAAAGGTGTAGGAACTTCTGGATTAAATTGTAATCTGCCTCCTGGCCTATTGGTCTTGATTGATTTATAGTTCGAACACTAATTTTATAAAGCCCCTTGCTTAATGACCCATTGTATTTATCTAAAAAATGACAAATGGAATGACAAATGTTGTATAAGGATAGCCCATTTCCATTGAGTCAGTTCCAGTACATTGAAAGCCTAGATCAGTGCTTCTCAACCTTCCTCTTGCCGCAACCCTTTAATACAATTCCTCATGTTGTGGTGACCTCTCCCACAACCATAAAATTATTTTCATTGCTACTTCATAACTGTAATTTTGCTACTGTTAAGAATCGAGTGTTGGAGAGCAAATGTTTTGAGAATGATGA